CTGAACGCCAAATTTCTGTCCATCAGCTGCTGCAGAAAGGACAGCACGCCGCCTAGTGGACATGAGATGGCCTCTACACCTTTCTCTGTACACTAGCGCTGAAAAGCTGTCCACTTTGATGTGTACAGCGCTGTGGTGGATGCAGCACGTGAATCCTAGATTGTGCGCACTACATCTTGCGGGAGACCCATCCTCTCTAAATGGATCCGCTCAGCGGCCAGACCCACAGGTGCTGGCCTATTTCTGAGTAACTCCTGATCGCTCCTCCTGCCTGGAGGATAGCATCCTCCCTCCATGGCAGTTTCCACGGGTGCCCCGATAACAGGCGTTGTAGAACCGGGAACCATGGTGCGTTCATGCGCTCGGGAGCTACCAGGAGATGCCACTGCGGTGAGATACGTGCCGCTCCTGCTGAGAGCGAGGTTCTCACTGGACTCAATCTGCAGTCTCACCTTAATGCTGATGCGAGCCGGCTAGCGCTGGGAAGTGGTGTGCGCGCTTTCATCAACGCAGCGCCATTGGAGTGAAGGCTGTTGGCGTCGCGGAAGCTCGCGTTTGACACTGTTGCGGTGAGACGCGTGCCGCTCCTGCTGAGAGTGACGTTTCTCACTGGACCCATTCTGTGGTCTCACATTTATGCTGATGCGAGCCGGCGAGCTCTGGTATGCAGTGTGCACGCCTTCATCAACGCAGCTCCGTTTGAATGAAGGCTGCTGGCGTCGCGGGAGCGTGCATTTGACACCGCTGCGGTGAGAAGCGTGCAGCTCGGGCTGAAAACGAGTTATTCCACTGGACTCATTCTGCGGACCACATTCGCTTTCGACTGTTGTGTCATGCGAGCGTCTCGTGTTTATTTGGAGTAGTGGTGATTCTGAAAACCCTTTTTTTAAGGCCACCGGCTCGTTTTGTGTGGAGGATGTGTGAAGGAGCCGCTGTGAGGTCATCTGAGCTGACAGACTGGCTAAATCAGACACTTTAATCATTAAATGATGTTTTATTTCAAAACTCCTGTCATCTTTACACACATCCTCCGCAAACCATCATTTGAATCTTCTCCCCCCGTGAGCTCTGTGGTTTGTTGTCCCAGGGCGCCACCTTTTGGCGATCTCAGGAAAATGCTGAACCTCCGGTTGCCGGGATGAGAAAGGCTGATGTCTGACGGGCAGGGCTGGCGGCGTAGCGGAGCAGGGAGACGCTGCTGCAGCCGTGGAACACGTTGTTGTTGTCTTGAAATTGGTCCCGAACAGCGAGTCCGTCGCTGATGGGGCCCTCCAACAAAAAACCTTCTGCAGCTCCTCCGAGAGGGAGGTGGAGTGACGAGCCAGGTGGACCTCTAGAAAACCTCGTCCTCCGGGCTGCGATGCGAGACCGGCAGACGACAGAAGAGGCGCACAGGTTGAGGATGATGTCAGCTGCCTTGCAGAGGGAACTCGCATCTCTTCCAGCCTCTTGAACGCTGTACGCCAGCAGCGTTACGTATTGTTCGCTGCGGCCGCCTGGAATGCACACTGGTGAGCTCGATTGGAGAGCGATGTCACCGTCTGGTCATGCTTACCTGGAGGCGCAGGACGCTGGTCCAACCTGGACGTTTTTGCTCCGAAAGCCTCCGCCAGGCTCGGCTCCAGGGGGGCACCGAGGGAATTTCCGCTCGGTGAAACCCCTCCACTCTGTTGATAGGCGCAAATGTGGGAACTGGCACCCTCATTCTACTAGGACCGGCTGCGGCCTCGTTCCAGTAGGACGTCACTGCTGGGAAACGAGGCCAGATGGGATCAGGACGGCGAGCCAGGGTGGAGCCCAAAAACCTTCCCACTAGATCATCCGATCAGGGCGGGGGAAGGAGAGGGACGGAAAAAGTCCTTTCATGTCAGCTGCCACTTGGATTATGCCGGGCAGCTCCAGAGGAGGGCACCGACGGCTGGGAGCGGTGTGGTCGCCGATGCAAACAAGGTCCGGGGAGGGGTGAGCATTTGCTCAGCCCCCCTCGTTCTGACACTACGCTCTCCAGGAGGGAGTGAGTAGCGGGGGCTGCTGCTGACGTCGCCTGTCCCGGAGGAACCATCCGATTCGCTCCGAGAGTCTGCGATAAAAGGACAATTACAAGATGGCGTTGTCCAGCGTGTAGAGACCCGCCACTGAGAAATATTCCTCGGCGCTTACCTTGAAACAAGACTGCTCGTCTGCTTCTCCTCGGGGAGGAGAACTCACCGGGACGGCAGGAGGTTGACTTGGCGGGGCCACAGGCAGTCTTAACAAAGGTTGAGCTGGTCAAGCTGAACAACTTCCCTTCTTTGTTCTTCTGACAGTGCTATTAGCTTGCTGAAGAAAAATGGGAGCCGATTACTCGCTCTTAACGTAATTTATACGGACCGGGTGGGGCCCACACAGCAGGTGGGCGTGGACTAAATTTTTCAGTGCGATGCTTTGCATGACGGTATAAACCCACTAAACGACAGCTCTTAAAGGGCGAAGCCTATACGAAATAGAACGAACTTCCCACAACCATGTGACCACGAGTTGATTGTGGGCTCCGGATGGAGTATGCTGTGGTCTTAATACAATTTTGCAAACTTATACTTGTATATTGCCACCAGCACATTGGTTACCCATCATGCCTACAGTTTCTGTAGAGGTTCTTAAAGCATTCTCTGAATTTTGTTCCAGGTAATTTCTATTTGGAGCCAAGATTTTTATTTGCTTAAGCAACTCTTACTGCTTTTGAGCCTCATATCAGCTTATAAAAGAAAGTTATTTAGCATCATATTTATTTAACGTGTAAACAACTGCTAATAAATATTCTTTAGAGTTCCCCTGAAGGGATCCTGAGTACAAGCAATGTACCACAGGTTCCTTTTCTAACACACCAAATATGTCCATATGTTGTGTCTTAGATAGAGTGCTTTTCAACCAGAAGTACCTAGAAACTAAATGCCATTGGATAGTTTTTTTTCTCTGCAATGTGGCTGAAAGATTATAAATTTGGATCACCTCATCAAAGTTTCTACAAGGGCTTTGCTTGTCTGGGTCATTGCTATAGATTGTGGTGATGCAGCACAATAGTTTGTTGATGGGTCTATAATGTGCCCTACATGGTACTCTTGTTTTTCTTTGTTTCAGTGTATTCACAGAGACCTGGCTGCTAGAAACGTCCTGGTCACTGAAGACAACGTGATGAAGATCGCCGACTTTGGCCTTGCCCGAGACATCCACCACATTGACTACTACAAAAAGACCACGAATGTACGCCAGAAGACTTGTAACTGACTAAACAGCAATAAAATTACATTTATACATGACGCTAACAGATCAATGTGCCCACAGGGTCGTTTGCCAGTGAAGTGGATGGCACCTGAAGCTTTATTTGACCGCATTTACACTCATCAAAGTGACGTGTGAGTGCTTGAGGTTTTTTTTTTGTTTAGTTTTAAATGAGTCCTGTTTGAAGTGTCTGATGTAGTCAGATTGAGTTTGTATAAAGTACAAAAGCCAACCTTTAAAAAGAAGAAAATTATTTGAGAAGTTGTTTTCCAAGGAGTTTGCATGTTCTCTCCGTGCATGCGTGGGTTTTCTCCGGGTACTCCGTTTTCCTTCCATAGACCAAAAACATGCATGTTAGGCTGATTGGTAACTCTAAATTGTCTCTAGGTGTGAGTGAGAGAGTGAATGTTTTATTTATTTTTTTTTTTTCTTGTTTGTCTCTAAGTGTCCCTACAATGTAGAGTTGCATTTGGGCCCAAAAAGTCTGACCCGGCCCCAGCCCACAGCCATTATTTCCAAACCCCACCCGACCCGAAGAATTAACAGTAATTACAGGTTCGAACCTGGAAAAAAAAAAAAAAACATTTTTAATTGGTTATTAAGAGTTGGGAATGTGCGGCTGAACAAAAGGGGCAGAAGATCAGAGCTGAGGGGGTGTTTGTCCTTTCATGGCCGTCAAAGAGCATTTAAACCCTGTTTCTGCCTGCATTCTGCATTACTTGGACATGGACCCTGCTCTGACACGTCTGCTTTGGGATCTCACCTGTTTGGGTCATCGGCCGCACACGTCCGCTGAGTGCAGCAGCTGAATGAACGTCCATTTGGGAGATAGATCACTTCCTGGCAGTATAGTCCCATCTGAAGCTTAACTGAACTTTTTACCTCTTTCAAGGCCGGTCAGCTCGTGTTGAAATGGCCACGTGTGGCTGGTGAATGTATGGCAAGCCAAGCTGTCATATAATTGGATTTTATGGCAAGCCATGTTGTCAAATAATTGGTTCGCGACTGATCTGCTAACCCAATCAAAAGCTTGACACTGACTCGGCCCGCCCATCCAGCGCATTATCATGGCCCAGCCCATCCCAAATTCAGGTTGGGTCAGGCTGGGCTTCAGGCCTGGGTTAGAAATGAAAGCTCTACTGTGATGGACTGGAGACACGTCCAGGGTGTTCCCCGCCTCTCGTACAGTGACTGCTGGATATGAGCTCCAGTGACCCCTGCGACCTGAAAATGAAGAAGTGGCTAAAGATAATGGATGTATGTATGGATGGATGGATGAATGAATGAAATTGTTTCCGTTACATGCTGCTCATAGAAATACAGCCATCAAAATGAACAGACAGTGAGTATAGATAGAAATCAGGGTGGCGATGCAGAGGTTAGAAAAGTGAGCATATGTAGCTAGGAATCCAAATTGCCAAAAATTTAGGAAAAAAAGGGGGTGGGGGGCACATTTTCAGTTGCAATTTCACTAAATTCTGAGCACTACTTCCAAAACTGTATTCTAGGCCATGCACATTATTTTGTTGCCCACCACACCCCTCACATCTATCTCGCTTTAACCCACATTGTACCCACCATGGCTGCTGCCCCCCACTTTTCTAATTTACTCTACTAGATTACATTTTAGAAATGAAGAAGTGCAAATTTAACCATTTTTAAAGAAGAATTATTTATCAGCAGTATGGATTTAGACCTGGACATCCAAGGCTCTGATTTTTTTTTATTTTGTATGGTGAGATCATGCACAAGTTTCAAAATACAGCTCTAGTGCTGTAGAATTTGCAGCAACTAAATTGAGAATGGTTCAAGATGGATTTGAACTGCTCTGTAACTATTCTGGGAGAAAATATATTGCACAAAGTTTCTGAACTTGTTCAAAAGTTAAGCCACAAGATTACAAGCCTCTGCAGTTGGTGTGAGGAAACTGAGAACCAACAAACATTTCAAGACATTTTGAAGACACTTGCATAAGAGTTGATGTTTCTGTAGTTGCTGTTCACCAACTATTTATACAGTTGCAACTAAGTAAGAAACTAAAGTTGCCTTTATTTAAAGAGATACAGAACGTTCTGTTTAGTTAATAAAATATTTTATAAGATAAAAATGTTCATGTAGAAAAAGCTTTAACATTATTTTTAGCCCATCTATAGAACTCTGGAAATTTCTGAATAAATATTTAATTCTCTGTTTTTTTAAGAAAGAGCAAAAACACTGAAACAATCCACTTCTCCAGTAGGTGGCAAGATCATCAACCTAAAAAAAAGTACAGAAAAATAATATTCTTTAGCTTGTTGCATGCTTTGCAAGAACAAAGACAATAGTTTGTTTACTCGAGGTGGCAGGTCAAGAACAAAGTTTATTCTGGAAAGGGCACTTCATACTTCATGAGAAACTTAAGTGCAGAATTTGTGGGAAGTGTACAAACTTCTGTGCCAACAGAAAAACAAGAATATCAAAATGTTTACTTTCCCATATTAATGACATACATAGGCCTGTCACGATAACAAATTTTGCTGGGCAATTAATTGTCTCAGAAATTATTGCAATAAACAATAATTTTAGAAATTTGACAATAATTAGTCATTATTGTCAAATTTAAAAAGAATCGTTTAATTTGTTTTGTGTGTAGTATTGTTTTGACCACTGGATGGCAGTATAAGACTGAACCAAAGGATGGATAGTGAGGGAGCGAGCAGCGTGTCTTTTTAAGAAAATGGGGGGAGGCCCTTTGACGTGACATGGGCTGTCTCTCTTTGGTTCTCAAAATGGCAGACCCTCTATGTGGTTTGAGCTCTTTAGTGTAGCATTTTTTCACACAAAGCTTTTAATAAAAAATCAGTAAACAGGTTCTCAGCTTCTTTTTGCAGAAAAAAATTTTTACACGAAGGCACAGGTTTCAACCGTGAATTTTGGAGCTTCGACAAAACAGAGTTTTTTTTTTCCCGAGGTTGGCCTGTTAGCTTAGCTCGTAGCTTAGCTTCTCAGCTTATTAGTAGAAAGAGAGAGACCTGAAAAAATGATAAAGCTGTAGTAGAACATACGGATGAGATATATTCATACTGTTAAAACGGATTCTTTCATTTTTCTGGACTGTATAATGTACGTGCATTGAATGTAATAAAATGTGGACGTGAGACGTTAATTATCTTTGACTCACCACGACAGTGGGTCATTTATTAACAGAATCAAGTTTAACACATCACACATTTACATTAATTGGCAAGAATTGAGAATAACGACAGCTATTAATCAGTTTACAGGAAGTGAACAATACGGCGATTGTTTTCTCACTTCCATCAGAACGACAAACGTTATTAATCACAGCAGACGTCAACCACACGGCGTTGATTGAAAAACTTTGCTTCAGACATTTCTAAAAATATCTGGATTAATTTGCTAGCAGATAGAAGAATTTAAAGATGGAAAGATGAAGTTTATCTTGAGAAAGATGTGTGAGGGAATTTGTCTGTTTTAACCAGAACATGCACGCTCCTTTGGAAATCAGCTTGTCCCCAACGGTACACTTTTGGTTGAAGATCGACTTTTTACCTTTTCTGAAGATATATCAGTTCCGGCGTGAAGTCCCACTTCGAGCCACCTTTTCAGCGTCTCCGTAAGAGCAGCTAAAAACCTCGGAAGTCGTGTGGAGGTCATCCAAAACGGACTTTCATAATTCCCAGAATCTCCTCTCGTTCAGCTTAGTGGCAGCTGTATAGAGCATGCTGCATTCCAGCATTCTGCATTCTGGAACTCCAAAACTCTCTAGTTGAACTAGGAAGTGCCGACATTTAAAGGGCTCTACTTCCGGTTCATTTGAGAGCTTCTGATTGGTCGATGGACCAAAACAGAGGTGTGTTTTGTGATGTAAGGTGTTATGAAAAGTCAAGGAAAAGATTAAGATTGTTTAGGAACAGACAGAAAGATATTATGAAGAAACCAGACTTCGTGGAGTCACTTCTCCAGTATCTTGCTGTAAAAGTTAAACATGACATTTCTTTTCAGTAAACTTTCAGTTGACTGAAACTTGAACTTCGACACACTTACAACTTCGCTCATTGAAGACAGAAAATCAGACAATGCATATTAACCTGATTTCTTCTTTGAATGAGGATTAAGAATCATTATTACTGTTTCACAGTTAATAAAAATGAGTAGTTCACTTCAACATGTAAACATTGTTTGAACTAACACAATTTGATTATCAAACATTTGTAAAATAGTAATGATAATAGAGAATAGTCTTCTTTTTACTTGATTGATTCAAGAAAGAAAGTCTCAGGATGGGTCAACCTGTATTTCTGGATGCAAATCAATGAAATGACAAGTTATGTCCCATATGGTCCTTAGGTCAAGGTTTTGACCTTCGGTCTAGTTCACTACAAAGCCGATAAATGAAAATGAGGTTGATAATTTTCATTGATCATGTGATTCATTGATTTATTTTTTATCGCGACAAGCCTAGACACACACATCAAACTTCTGACCAAAGCTGCAAGAACTCCCAAATAGAAGCCATAAGAAAAGTGACAGTTCTTTTCTCACAGTGTTCAGACAGAGAACAATTTTCTTAGTTCTCGCAGAGTATGTTTTGAGATACTCCCAAAAGAATTGTAGCTATAGTTTTTTTTTTTAAATGTTTGTAATTTACTTTCTGTTAATAACATTTTCAACACACAGGGTTAATAAGCATGGCATCAAAACAACTATAGAAAAGCTGTTAAAAATGGCACCATTGTTGTTGTGGTTTCCAGTGTACAAAGTAGTAGTGGGCTACATCTGTATCTTCTTTCCACATGGATCTGGTAAAACTTGAAATTTATAAAAACATCATCTAGGACATTTTCAAACATCCAACAGCAACAAAAAAATGTCCGTTTTATCCAGCTATCTGGACTGCCAGTACAGTTTTATGGCCAAAACAGGGATCTGCATGATAACAGTCATTAAATGGACTAAAAAAGTTTTAAGGGAGAGATTTACAATATTTGCACTTGTGAATACAAACTTCAAGCTCTCAGTTTAATGGATTCAGTAAAAACTTGACAAACCCCCTCGATTTCCTCCTGAAAACCAACTAAGCAGAGATGAACGTAGCATAAAGGACAAACTCAGAGCAATATGAGCTGCTTCTTTATGTGACAGCAGCACACAAGTTCTTCACCTCCCTCCTTAGTGACTGTTCCTGTGAGAGCTGCTCTACAGTTCATCACAAAATTAGATCAACTAATGAATTCATGTTGAGGGAGCATTTTTCTACAGCAGCTGCCTGCAACATAATTTATGTCAGCTTATCCTGTTTTATCAGAGCAGGGAAGTAAAACTGTCCCATAAATCCAGCACAGCAAGGAGCGCAGTATGTTCAAGGTATCTCAGGATTTAATCATATGAAAGAAGGTTGATGTAGGTCTAATTCTTGAGGTTTTCACTGGACAGTTTAATAAAATTGTTAGACTAAAGTAGTCCCTCGTTTATCGCGGGGGATCTGTACCCTGAAGCCCCGCGATAAGTGAAAAACCGCGAAGTAGGAATAGTAGTACAAGTAGTAAGTAGTAGTTTATTTGAGTATATATATATATATATATATATAAAGGCGTTTTCAACCATTCCCTCACTCTTGCAATATACTAAAAGATGTTTCCAAACTCTAAACGCTCTAAAAGAGCATAGAATGTCATGATTTCCGTCTCTCTGCCTCCGCTGTTCTCAGCCACCTGCAAGCGTTCTTGGTAGGGGTGCACCGATTGCAGTATTCTGGCCGATCACCAATCACTGATTTCTAAAAAGTCTGACCTGCCGATTCCGATTTTGGCCGATACCGATTTTGTTTTATAAGTGACACTGTCAGATGTTATAAGGTCACACAATGCACCTTCAATTTTCCAATCTTATTTTCTTGAACAATATCCTATAAACAATACAAACTTGGTTTAACTGGTCATGAGGTGGTGCTCTGAAATATAAATGAAGTTCAGACAATTGTTGTTCAAACTAAAAAAATTGGTAAAATTGGTTTTTCATGCAAGTATCGGCCGATTTCCGATTTCCCAAAATGAAGGAAATTGGGGGCCTAGTTGTTGGCCACGCCCACTTCTCTCTTCACGGAGAACAGTTGGTCAGCTGCAGGAGAAAGCTTATCCTGCAGTGTGGGCTGCACGAAGGTGCAGGAGGTGCTAAATTATTTATAGTTTATTTTAAATAAAAAGTCCATGCCGATCGTGCAGCTCATCCATCAGTCAGTGTAATGTCCAAGCTTTTTTTGAAAAAAAAACAAAAACGGGATAGAGCGAGTCTGCGATAAACGAACCATGAAGTAGTGAGGGACTACTGTATATGATAAAAGTATATTTTGTAGTTTATGTCCAAAAATGGTTTTATTAGCATGTTTATGAAATCTGAAACAGGAAGTAAAGTCACCTAAACATAAATTCAGGGAGACATTTCCATGTGCCACTGCAGGTGGTCATTTGGCGTCTTGCTGTGGGAGATATTCACACTTGGGGGCTCCCCTTACCCCGGAGTTCCTGTTGAGGAGCTCTTCAAGCTGCTAAAGGAGGGACATCGCATGGAAAAGCCGTCCGCATGCACTCAGGAGATGTGAGTAGACCCTCGGTTATCTGCAGGATAACTTTAACTGAAAGTTCTGTACAAATAAAACCTCGTTTTTTTCAGGTATCTGATGATGAGAGACTGCTGGAACGCAGTCCCATCCCACAGACCGACGTTTCAGCAGCTGGTAGAAGATTTAGATCGTATTCTTTCTCTACTGGCTAATCAGGTAACATGATTGTTTTCAGCCAGTGCAATGTTTAAAAGTAGGATTTGACCATGTTCTTCTTGTTCCTACAATATTTCTTCTTACTTCTCCTTAACATCGTTGTAATGGTTTTATCAAATCTGCTACATAAATATCTAGTATTTTATTTAGTTCACTCAGTTTTCTAAAGGTCTTATAAGATCAGTCTGTATCGTGAATAACTTCTCAGGTGGTATCTGTTAAATCGAGTGACAACCATTTTTGCGTTGACTAATGTTGTTTAGCCGTGGCAGCCATCTTGAATTAGATTGGCTCCAAATGTTAATGAGCTGTGGGTGCATGTTTTCTTTTAACAGTTTCATCAAAGTCCGTTCATCAAATATAAACCTTGTTTGTGAGATATTTTGCTAACAGACAGAAATATGGAGATAAATTAGTATGAAAAGTAGTCAAACCACAAGTTTCACAAATGTGTATTGCAAGTCATAAATGCATGAGCAATTTTTCAAATGTACACATTTTAAATTGCACAGTTAGGAATGTTCTGTGCATACATATTGTCAAATACATGTGCACAAATCACCTGCTGTGGATGAATCTACGGTGGCCCTGAGGTGTAAATGAGCAACATTTGAAAAAACGGAACTGCATTTCAAAAAACAAAATTACATTTGGAATAAACAACAAAAACACAAACACATTTAAAAAAATAAATAAATAAAACAGAATTACATTAAGTCAAACTGGAAGTGGTGGTTTTATTTTTATTTTTTCAACTCTATTAACAACATAAAACAGAACAATGCATAGTAGTTATTCCTACTATTCGGTGCCTTTTGAGTCCCCATGCCATAATGTGGTATATTTTGTTTAAAGGTGGGCTAATATTTATTTTATTAATCTCATTTTATATGTTTGACTCACCACTATCATAAAACACAACCATATGTACACAAGATGAATTTAGTTTAAAATATTTAAATCTGCAGCACGGTGGCACAACTGGTAGAGCTGCTGCCTCTCAGCGAGCAGGTCCCTGGTTCAAATCCTGGTCCGGGGGCCTTTCTGGGTGGAGTTTGCATGTTCTTTCCGTGCATGCGTGGGTTTTCTCTGGGTACTCCAGTTTCCTCCCACAGTCCAAAAACATGCATGTTAGGCTGATTGGTAACTCTAAATTGTCCCTAGGTGTGAGTTTGTCTCGTTTGTCTCTATGTGTCCCTGTGATGGACTTGCGACCTGTCCAGGGTGTCCCCTGCCCCTCGCACAGTGATTGCTGGACATGGACCCCCGTGACCCAAAATGGAAGAAGCGGGTAAAAGATAATGGATGGATGGGTATTTAAATCTAATTTTACATGCAACTTGGGTTTACTGCCATGAAATTAAGTTAAAAATTTTAAGTAATATAAATAAAAATGACATAAAAAAATAACAGTACTATTTAGTTCTCATCCAATGTCTTTGATATCCAAATATTTTTTTTATACTTAAAATGATTAAAAATAAATGTAGTCCCCGAGTCAACTGTCCACCCTGTTACTCTAAAATACCTGTCACCTCCGCTTTGGCTTAATGTAATTCCGTTTTTTCAAATGTTGTTCATGTACATTTCAGGGCCACGGTATGAATCAGTCAACACGAGCACACGGATCAGATTGCCTGTAATGTGACTTTTAAGACTTTTTACCGCTCCAGATTCACAAAGTTAATGAATGCTGCATTCAAGGCTGTTAAAAAGCTGGGACGTCTGAGTCTTACCAGATTTACTGGGTTATTGGAGAAAAACACATTTCTGACTTGGCACTGTAGCCCAGAGACTAATTTATCTCCATACAGAAAGGCTAATGCAAACATTTTAAGCAAAGATCTGGATTATGATGACATTATGCATCAAACAAAATGAAAAATAAAAAAAGGGGTAGGGGGTAAATGTGGTCTTAAAATGACTTGTGAACCTTAAACCCTGAATGCTGTTCTGATGTTCTGCAGGAGTACCTGGACCTGGCTGTCCCTCTGGTCCAGTACTCATCAGTTCAGTACTCCCCTGTCATTCACTCCACCTCGACTCATTCCTGCACCTCAACATAGTCTTCGTGGGAACAACCCCTCCCCCCCCCCCCCCCCCACTTCTTGAATCGCCTTCACCCCGTTTCCTGACCAGCAGAGTCGTAGAGGGATTTCAGACGAGCTCCTTCACTGCAGACTGATGTGAGGAGCAGCTGGACTCCCTCAGATGGGAAAGGACAAAAAGACTGCGTCCTGCCACTTTAAGAGGACTTTATGTGTGTTGATGTAATTAGTGTAAATATTGTAAATATTGGTTTGTTATGTAGAAGATCAGCCTGATTTATTACAGCAGCATCAAGTGGAGAAGAAAAAGGAAGGACTAAATAAGCAACAAAATGTATAAATCATATTTTTATTATTGTACATTTTATTTTTACAGTTTAATTCCTGATTATCAGTTGCATCTTGAAACCCCAGAATTAGTCTATTAGTGGATTATTGTTAGATTAACTGATGTTTTGATTGTGTTTTCCTGTATTTCATGTTTGTTCGTCTACTGTGATGTGACGTTGATGCCAGTGTTACAAATCATTTACATTGCACTTATCCTCCAGCTGATTTGGAGCTGTTACACAAACCTTTAGCTGAATGTATAAAATAATGAAATAACAGTATTAAAAAGCATGTGATTTTATTTTATATTTTTTCCAGATTTTTTTGTTGTTCTGATAATTAATACAACTCTTAGATGTGTTTTAATATGAAATGTTTGCTCCATTCTGATGAAAACAGAAACAGCCAGAGCTTGGATGGTTTCAGAGCTTTTCTATGTAACAATTGACTAAACTAGTAAGTAAAATAATTTGTGGTGTGACAAATGTTTCAACATAAACTCCACTAAGCTTACTTGAATGAATCCTATAATTTTGATGTTGTGGCTTCTGGTTTGCGACTTCTTCAGTATGAAGAAAGGATCTAAATAAGGAAAGCTTTTATTTTTTGCTCTTGAGGCACTTTGCTCTCTCAGCTCTCATCAATATCATATAGTTAACCAACTAGAGATTTTTTTTTTAACCTTCCAAAGCACCTTTCTACCACCTTGTTAGAGTGGCCAGCAGGTGGCAGTGTGTTGCACATGGCTGTTTCTACAGTCAGTTTCTTCCTGGCCACATGTTCAAGTCATTGAGTTGTGTATTCATTTGATTCCTTAAGGACACACCACATCATGCAATGCTCTTCTGCTAAAGTCTTTCCACACACACCTCTTGTCTTCCAGTAGACACCAGAAAAACAGCTGCCAAGTCCCAGCTCGCTCCTGCCATGTGTAAACTATTTCAAACGGCTGTGTAAAGTGTTTGTGTTGGCCCCATTCCCTGAACCAATGACCCATGTCTCACCCTGAGGTTGACCAGTAACCACACACCAATGAGGGCTGTGATAACCGTCATGCTCAGTAATTAGAAAACAAACTTGGAGGAAGTAGACAAACAAAACCAGCAACTTGGGCTCCTAACGAGTGCACATGGAGGGGGAGCACTTATTTTATTTTTATTTTCCTTCGCTTGATTTAAAGTGTATAAATGGCTGAAAATAGGATGAGTCCGACTGGATGGTGCCCAGATAACATGACTGTGCAAACATTAACTGATGCTGTGTGTCAGTGCGTTGTCTAGTGAAAGGAACTGCTTTGCAAAGGTTTTTTTTTAATAGTTCAGAGATAATTATTTCTGTAGAAGAAAAGAACTGAACCCTGATCCGCGCCTTGGCTTTTATTTTTTTTAAGACTATATGAGTAACAAGATTAAAACTGTTCAGAGCTCTTCCTCCTGCTTGTTGCACTTTCTGCTTCTATTTAATTATTTAAAGGTTTCAGAAAGCTATAAAGATATGAATCACCGAGAAATATAGCTGGAAAGAGCAATTTATCAAATAAAGGAACATCTGGCTGAATTTGATGAGCAAAGAGGCAAAGTTAAGGTTTAATGACTACAATTTAAAGAGGTTTCTTGTGAGTTCAAACTATTTTAAATCATTAACCATAATGTTAGTCTGGAAAAATTTCTGAATAATTTATTTAGGTTTGCAGGCAAACTTAAAACAAAATTTAAATCAAAATATAAAAAGTGACACTAATGACAGTCAATCATGAGGATACGTTAGATATACCCTTTTTATTTTATTGTTTTGATTCAAGTTGAAGTCTTCCTTCTGTTACTGATGTTCGTTACTGGCATCAAAAACCAAGGACCATGGAAAGCACCTTGCTGTCTCGTGATGATCGTCTTTTTTTTCTTAAGCGTGATTCACAGTTGCCTTATTGCCATAGCTCACCCCAATCAGACTCTGCTAACGGGTTTTATATAAGTATTTCACTGTTTTGAGACTGGAGACAGAATGACAAGGAAAGACACAAGTTTTCACTTAGAATCACACTGAATGACGTCTCCACAAATACCTGAAGAACTTGGGGGAGTGTTGGTGCAGAGCTAAGAGAACGTGGGCCTCTGATCGGAAGGTAACCAGTTCAACTCCCCGGACTGACAGCATCAAAATGTGTGTGGGAATGGTGAAGCACCCACACCTGCCTCCACCCTGATTTGCCCCATTCTGGGCCCTTGAGCAAGACCCTAATCCCCCACCATCTGGTCCCCTGGGTGCCTTAGCAGGTCTCTGCTCCACAGAGGGCTGTCGGTGGTCTGTGGTTGCATCAGGAATGGCACCCACCATAAAAACAACTGACAAGTTGTTTTTTGTCAAGTCAAGTTAGTTTTTGTTGTGGCGACTCCTGACGAAGGGAACAGCTGAAAGACGACAGAAAACAAACAAAAAAACACACACATATACATACATATATATATATATATATATATAGATGCATATATATATATATAAAAATATATATATATATATATATATTAGGGATACACAATATTATCGGCAAGGTATCGGTATCGGCCGATATTAGCGTTAAAGTGCAATATTGGACATGGGCCATTCCATCAAAATAACTCGCCGATATATAAGGTGCTGGTTTTGCCTGCAGCAGCAGCACAATGTGATGACGTTGCAGTGGCAGTGCAATGTGATGACATCATGTGCGTCTACCTGATCTCACGGCGGAGAGGAAAATTCAAAATGTCGGTGGTGTGGAAGTTTTATTTTTCGTTGGTGAAGATGTCGGGTTCCGAAGATTTATGGACTACGTTGAGCCTCGCTACATTGTCCGCAGTCGGAAATATTATTATTATTTTATTATTTATATTAAGTTTCCCAAGTTACAAGACATCATTTCTGACGTCATTGAGAAGCTAATAGCCGATAGCACGACTTGTTGGGTGAGTTTTACCACAGACATCAAGTGTTAGCCCCGTTAGCATGATTAGTCTTACAGCACAATGGATAGACAAAAACTTTGAATATATATATATATATATATATATATATATATATATATATATATATACTATAAACTGGCTTCAGAAGGACGTGCGGTCGATTCAACTTCCTGAAAACAGAAAATGTTCCTAATATTGTCTCAATAATAACGATAAATAATAAAACTCAATAAACATGAAAAATCTGTTGTTCATTGCTCAACGGTTAAATTTGTCCTTTTTGTGAGTTTGTGAAAATAATCTCATTTCAAATAAAAGAAAGCAATAGTCTTTAGCTATGTTTATTTACATTACCAAGTCTTCTTAAACCTCCATTTATTTTGCACAGCACTGCACATTCCCCACGCAGCATCAGTTTACAGACTTGCAGCTAGTCAGAACTTCAGCCAACACAGCAGCACTGCTGTTGAGCTGCTCTGATTCCTGGAAACACAACCGACCTGCCCTGCTGTCAGCAAACACACTTTCACAGAATGGAAAAAAGAGCATGGATGTCTCGAGCCAGATGGGGGTTAATGGGCCATAACACCCAGGTGAGAAGCCAACATGGGTCAGCCATTATACCAACAGCGACAGATGGCCAAGTGAGTGTCATCATGGGGCTACTTAGCACCTCTAGTGTGGGAGCCAACAAGCCTGGACAAACACCAGACGTGTCACAGACGTATTTCTTTACTCACATGCCTTCTTTCCTAGATCTGTTTATACTGATGATCACTGAACATCTGTCTTTCTGTGAAAGACAAGGGATATTTGAAAACAGTTTTAAAGTAGTAGGAAGAAAGGTCTTCCACAAAAGAGGAAGACAACCTTTATCCCGAGAGCACTTGGTTTTAACCACCAAGCACTTCTGGTTGTTTTATGTCTTTGTGTGTTTTACTGTCATGTTCATGTCCATCAGGTTGAGTTGTTTTTCATGTCCATTGAGTCGTTTCTTATGTTTCGTTTTAAATTGCTCCCCGGGGACAAATAAAGTGATCCAAGACGAACTAGAACTGAAATGAACGCAATTTTAGTCTGTTTTTTTGCAAAAGTTTTCAAGAACATAAGACCAAATGATGCCGCTTATCGGGAATATTTTCAGTGGCATTTTAAACTGTGAATTTTAATCACTGCAAGAGAAATGTGCTTATGCTGCAAGATGAGACGATCTGCTTAAACTGTGAATGAGTGCCTTGCATGGTGGTAAATAATAAGTGCTGTAAGATGTCTGCATGCCATCTGGTGGCAGCTTTGGAGGTGCTAGATGTTAGAACTCCTACTTTTTTTTAACGTTTACCATATGTTTGATGGGTGTTGCATTGTGGGTTTGCATGAGACCATGTGATATGAAATATAGTATCATACATGTTGCTCAGCGTGTGGGCCATATGGATGTCACTGCGGCACGGCAATGAAACCAAAAGTATGGGAATGCTCACATATGTTGTAAAGATTCTGGTCTCCCAAGGCAGACCACACTAAAGAAGAATCACTGAGTTGATGGCATCTGTGCACCCTGTGTCAAACTGGGATCTGGCGGACCACAGGTTCACTGTCCCTCGTATAGGTTGACATTTTGCACTAGCTACAGCAGGGACAGCTGAATTTGGAGTGGCACAGTAAGTGAGAGGCTTGGACTTGTAAGGAACTTTGGTTACGCATTATCACAGACGGGACGGCATGGTGGCACGGTTGGTAGAGCTGCCGCCTCTCAGCGAGAAGGTCGCTGGATTGAATCCCGGCCGAGGGGGGCATTCTAGGTGGAGTTTGCATGTTCTCTTCGTGCATGTGTGGGTTTTCTCCAGGCACTCTAGTTTCCTCTCACAGATCAAAAACATGCATGTTAGGCTGGTAACTAAATTGTCCCTATACGAGAGAGAGAGAGTGAATGGTTGTTCATCTCCGTGTGTCCCTGTGATGGACTGGAGACCTGTCCAGGGTGTACACACCTTACGTACAGTGACTGCTGGATATGGGCACCAGTGACCCCAGTGCCCGGTAAGTGGGTAAAAGATAGTGGATGGACAATTGTGTGCATACAGTGGGAGATCAATCCTACAAATGTTGAAAGAGATATTGGTGTTACTCCAGGCATCATGGTGTAGGAAGCCACAAGTCGACTTCAGGTCACGTTTGCCAGTGATTTGGAGACACTACTGGCACAACACTATGCCACACGCTTCAAGCAGCACCCTGGCACAATTTTCCAGCTATTTTTCCACATATTACAAGTGCATCTACGGACTGTCTGCAGAATGCTGAGGTCCTCCTGAAGAGTCCAAAAAAAAAAAAGTTAACAAAACTGGACTTTATTTGTAACTGAAGACGTTTCGCTTCTCATCCAAGAAGCTTTCTCAGTCGTTTTTGATTGATCATGTCCTGGATGACTGAGAATCTTCATCAGCGCACTTCTGTAGCGAGCCAAGCTGCCCAACAATGAAGCATGAGGGATCATGAGACCAGTGCTACATTGCTGTATATTGACGTGTAGGCTCAACAGCAGTTGGTCAACTTGCTGCAATTACTGTAAGAAGTTTATGTTCCCAACCTGGGGACATGCCAAGTCCTAGATTTGGTACCAGCCATACCAACTCTGCTCTACATTTGATTTAATATTGTAATCATAGCAACAATTACATGAGCTTAAAAAAAAAATAAAAAAGTACAGTAGTTCATTTCTTCTTCTCTGCTTGAAGGCCTAACTTTTTGTTGTCCATGTATGTTTGGATTCACATTTTTTTATTTAAAGTTTCAGCTCTGCAGTAAGTGCTCCGTTCTTGACTTGTCCTTTACACAGAAACATCTGACTAAATATCAGTTCGCAAGCTTGTAATATTCTGGTAGGGAACCTCCAACTTGGGGTGTCAAATCTTCAGTGCAAATAAACCAGTCAGAATCAGTCACATCAGCGTTTATTTCTAAAACAAAACCAGCAAAATCTGCTCCCATGCATATTTTGATCTGCATCTCAATATCTGTAAATATAATATATATATATATATAGCCTATAAAGTGATTTCAGACAAGCAAAAAGGTGTCAAAGATCTCCACGACCAGCGTGAAAGATTCTTCTGATCTCCTCAGCTTCCTTTACTCTTCCTTAAATGACAACCTCATAAATTAATTTAAAATAAATATCAATCGTAATTGGAATATAATATATTATTTAAAACGTTTGTAAGAGGATAAAGTTCACATTGAACAGTTTGTGGATGGGCACAGAAAACATTAAGAATAATCACCTCAAGCTTTCTGCAGCTGCATCACTGTGTACATGTAGAACAGGTAACATGAGCTTTTATCTATTTGTCAGCGTTGACCCCGCTCTGCCTCTCCAAGTTGTCCACAGATCTTTTCCGGGCAAACAGGTGGGTGGGGTCCCTGCTTCTGAAGCCAGGCTGGATGTTGAACACGGGCATGTTCCTCCAACTGGCTGGGTTGTTGTAGGTGCTGGCATCGGAGCCGACGGGGCAAGGTTTGTTCTGAACGAGCTGGAGGAAGGTCTCCATGTCAGGCCCCAAGCGGGCCATGACGCCTGCCCTAACAAGCGCCACCGTCTCCTCGTCGCACGTCTGCAGAGTCTGCAGCAGGGTGCTGTAGTACCTGCAGCGTCAGCACAGGAAACAAAGTCAGGACCTGTTTACAACACAGCTACTTCTTCCACCCGACCACAGGAGAACCTTGAGATCTAAAACCAATACATGGTTCTGTTGCACTTGTTAATAGGCAAAAAAATACAAGAGTATCTTCTCATTGTTTAACTTTTAGACATTTTTATTGGGTGCCATTTTGTAGAACATCCTAATGAATAAAAACCAAGATATCAAAACATTTTCATTGGCTGATTCCCTGACAATCAACTCAAAGCTGGAGCCAGTTATGGCACATTGGTACATTGCGTCCAGTGACCACAACTGGACAAAATTAAATTGGAATAAACTGATCAAATCAGAACCTCTTGACTTCTCAGACTTCTGTTTGTTTACCTACAATTTTATGCAGATTTAAATATAATTAAACTGCAAACCTTTGTGTACTCCAATATTTTTTAATCACATTATGAAAGTAGTTCTACAAATGAAGAACAAAAATAGTGTTTTACTGTTGAAAATGAATAAAACTGTTATTATACCGAATTAAACTGTTATTATACTGATTAGAGAAGAAAGACGCAGAAAATTTTCTCAGTCATTTCATTATTTTTCCCCTGTATACAAAGATTCAGAAAGCCGTCTCAAAGCTCCAAGAGACCCAGCATATATATTTCTATGTAAATGACTAGATTTTTCCATCCATCCATCCATTTTCTTTACCCGTTTATTCCATTTTGGGTCACGGGGGTCACTGGTGCCCATGTCCAGCAATCACTGTGTGAGGGGCGGGGTACACCCTGGACGGGTCGCAAGTCCATCACAGGGCCACATAGAAACAAATGAGACAAACAAACATTCACTCTCTCACTCACACCTAGGGACAATTTAGAGTTACCAATCAGCCTAACATGCATGTTTTTGGTCTGTGGGAGGAAACCGGAGTACCCGGAGAAAACCCACGCATGCACGGAGAAAACATGCAAACTCCACCCAGAAAGGCCCCCGGACCGGGATTTGAACCAGGGACCTACTCGCTGAGAGGCAGCAGCTCTACCAGTTGCGCCACCGTGCTGCCTGACTAGATTTTTGTTCAATATAATTTAGAATGAACTGTCTTTAAAAAGATAACTCATTGCTGGCCTGTTAAGTTTTCTGTGAATTTTATTGAAACTAAACATTTCAGTGCCCCTTGAGTTGATTCTGAAACAAAGTCTTCATGCATTTAAAAAGTCTTGACCCACTTGCTGGACAGTTCAGAACGCTTAAATCACTACAACTGTACCCCACACAGCTATTACGAGTTTTGTTGCCATTAAACAGTCGATACAATGTTTTTCTAAGAAGCTTTTGTCTCATCTGTGCTCACCTGTTGGGGAAGTGAGCTGGCACCTGCAGCACCTCGCCGATAGAGTCAGGGTTTGTACGAGCCACAGTGCAGATGTCCAAACTAGCGTAGCACTCCTCTTGAACCTTTAACAAGATGCAGATTTGAATTTAGCATGAAGCCAACCCTAAGGCCAGAGCTAGTATTTGTCAGATGGGATTATGCCATCCTGCCAACAAAGACTAAAGGTACAAGTGAATTTGCAAGGGAGCTTTCAAAGCGTCTACAAATGTTTGATAGTGTACAGTTTCCTTGCACAAGTAAAACATAATAAAAAATTATGGACAATTTCTCTCCTCCAGTTATTCAGAGTTGCACTGGTGTCTCAACCGGTCTCAGTTTATTTTCTGTAATTCTAGCGCTAGCTGTAAATTTGGCAGGGCATATTCAAACTCCAGGTGAATTTGAACCTAAATTTTGCAGGGAGTTTGTGCAAACTTGTCATTCGGTGGCATTTCAAATTAAAATTCATATTTTCGTTTCAATTCTGTCTCCGACAGTCACAGCAAAGGTAGGATATTGACTATAAACTCCAGCATTTCCAAACTGAGGTATTTAAAAGAGCTATCTACAACAAGTAGGACGATAACTGCTAATTATAAATTTTATTTTCCAACTGACCACCACTTTATATTGGTCAAAATATCCTTTTGTTTATGCAAGGGGTGACGGCAGGTTTTTATCTCTTACGAACCTCTGCAATCATTTTCTGAAAGATGCTACAGCGGCGAATCGTCTGGAAGACTTTGTTAGAGATTCCCTGGGAAATGCAGTGCAGACTCCTCTTCACGAAGGTTTTCCCCTGCAGGACAAAACACGGTCAGAGCGTCAGCACGTGGCAGGCTGGAAAAGAGACGATGCAAACAGGTAAAAGGCTCACCTCTGTGTTGAAGCTGGCAGCTGACTGGAGGAACAACTCGCAGATCTCATGCATGCCATCGGTGTCGCACGTAGAGTTTTCAAGGCAGGAGAAGAATCCACAGCCTACAGCCACAGCTTCATTCAAACATTTGGCCACCTCAGCTGCAAAAAAAAACAGGAATATTATTTAAAAAAAATAAGAACAGGAGCCAACAATGGCTGAACCAGTTTTTATTTTAATTTTGAGTTTTTTGGGGTTGAGACTACCCAGTTTGTCATCGAGATAACACAAGCAAGTTTTCTGGTTAAGACTAGCTTTCTCAAGAGAAGCTTGCCAATTAACAAAAGCTAACTTTTGGTCTCAATCATTAGTGCAAAAATGATGTGTCCTTGTGCTACACTGACCGAGTTTCTTCATTTAGTAGCATCACCATGACACTTTGAGATGATTTAAACCAGAGCAGATGAGGAATATTGTAACATTTTCACCTTGAGTCAGTTGCTGGGTGACTGTCCTGATATCCCAGTGAAGATGTACTGGTATGCCCTTTATTTAATTGGGATTTTGATTGAGAAGATTGATTTCCAAGTCAAAATAACAATCCAATCTTGAGAAAACACTTATGAGAAAAGTGTAAATATATATATATATTTTTTGTCATGTTTCCCACACATGGCCAATTATAAGACCACATCATAAACATCTGGAAAAATGTTCAAAAAAAAAAAAAAAAAAAAAAAAAAAAAAAAAAACTGCAAGGGAACCACAACTTTCACATGTGGCATTTTACATGAGACGTCTCCACATGTGAAGTTTTCTCTTGAGATTAGATTCTAATCATAATCATGTCCTCTTTCAGCTTCCGTACAAACCGAATCCAATTAAAATGAAATAAAAACTTAATGTAAATTCGGACAAGCCATTGAAAGACAACCCAGACTGGATACTTTATACATTTTAAAAACACGGAAGAGCAAAACCTTCGTTTTGTTCTCTGTTTACTTTAAACACAACCCCTCCCAGGCTGTCAGCAGATCACCTGAAGGTCCTGACAGGAGGTCACAACAAACAGACATGGAGAAGCTGGACTCACTCGGGCTGTTTGAGGAGAAGCGTGCCCGACGGGGAGCGGCCTCCTCCGGCTGCAGCTCGAAGGAGGTGGCGGAGCTGAAGGCGAGGAGGAGGAGGTGGAGCAAGGCGGAGCCGCACAGCATGGTGTCTGTCAGATTAAAGACGAGGAGGTGTAATGAGGAGTGTTGTTGTTGTGCTGGTCAGACTGCCCACAGCTCGTATTTATATGGCGGCCTCTGTAAACTGACCAATCAGCGCGCCGCTTCCTCAGTTAATGGTTTATTCACGCGCGCAATTACCCCACTCAGCTAATTGGATATTTCCACACACTCACGGTGAAATTTCCGAGCAGAGGTAAAGTCTGGGGATAATTTTAGACTTGCATTTGTTTCCCGTCACAGTTTCCTGCTCACAGAAACACTTCACAACCACTGTTTAAACTATTAAGATCCCATATCACAAGATTATGGCTTCCTCTGGTTTCACAGTTGGAAAGACTGATGAACTCATTCATTTCCACTGCAAAGAGAAATCCTGATAAACTTATTAAAAATAGACTCAAAATGTTAAGTTTGGAGAGAGGGTTCTAACATACTGAATTATTGGTGCGTTTTACACGCGTTATTTATTTGGCAAAATACAACACAATAACTTTAGGGGTTGTATATTATGCAAAAAAAATAATGCAGCATGGAAAGATGAATGAATGGTGAGCACAAAGTGAGTTGTTAAAACCAATAGAAACAAAACACAGACTAAAAACTGAAAGCAGCAAAACACTGGTTAAAGGCTTAAAAGTGTGAAATGCCTATTAAAGGCCAAAAATAGCAACATGCTACATAAAATCCAAAAGTAGCTAAATGTTTACAGAAAACTAATCACAGCAAAAAAGCTATCCAAAAGCTACAAGTAGCAAAACAATAGCAAATGCAATAAAACACTGGTTAAAAGATTAAAAATGCTAAATGCTAGTTAAAGGCTAAATGAAGGAGAATGCTACATTAATTCAACCGTTACTTATACAAGTTAATCCCTTTGAGCCTCAGGAACTCATTTACAAAAGAGACCTGATTTTTTTTTTTAACAAAGAGTGATGACAACAGTGGACAACAACGACAACAACAGAGGATCATAAAAGATGCGTACAATTTTTTTTTTCCAACAAGTTAAAATAAAATGGCAACCAAAAGGACAATCAAAAGGAAAAGTAGAATAAAATGCTAGATTGTAAAGCAGTGTAGAAAACTAAAAACAGGAAAGCTAAAAGAAGCAAAAATGATTGTCTTAAGCTATAAGTAGTAGAACAGTAGCTAATGCAATGTTAAAACATGAGAAATGTGTTGTAGGAACATTAAAATGCCATGTAACATGGACACATTTTGTTTAAAAAATAAACTTTTCACATTTTAATACTGTTCTATTTTATTGTTGTCAAGGTGTTTCTGTAGTTTTGTGGTCATTAATGTGTGTGTGTTCTGAAATAGGTGTATGCAGAGTTGCTTGTTTTGTGTGGGAGATGTGGAAAACTGTGTGTCTTATCTGAGGGTCAAAAACCAGTAAAGTGTGAGAGTCGTTAGTGGAGGCGACTGATTGACCATGGGAAGTGGTGGACCTTCAGAATCCCAGAGGTCAACCAGTGCTGTTAAGCATCATACCACCATTATACATCACTTCACTTCCTCCTTCAAAGCCATGTGGAAAAATAGCACCCAAATCTTCAGGGCCTTCAGGACCTGTTTTCATCAGTTATTTCTTAATTAAAAAAGGAAAACTAAGTCAATGTTTTGTTAAAATGGAAAACAAAAAATCCCATTTAGGTAATATGGTTTTAGTTTTGCAGTGCACTTACACCTCAGCTCTCCACAAGTTCATGGACCTATAAAAAGACTGTATATGGAACTGACTTGTATAAGGTTTGGCATGTGATTGTAAAAATCAAAGTGAAAAGCGTCCACAACGCTGAGAGAATTGTCTGAATCCCTGTGTGCCTTTATTATAACATGTTTATTTAATATCAATTAAGGTAAAGAATGGGGCAAAATAAAAAAAACAAATGCTTAACAAAATTTGTTGGACTAACGAGTGACGTCAGAATGGGATCAGTTTAACAATTTGGAAAGAACAAAGGAGAAATTAAACAATTGAGAATGTAAATATAAATCGGATCAAGAAAGCTCATACTGAACTTAGAACTTCTCTCATTTTACTTTTAACACACAGTATTTACCTTGGGTTTCTATAATGTATTGAGGTATGTGGCTTTAACAAAATAAGGAAACAACACTGTCTTTTTAAATATCTGACACTACAAATATATGGATGGTGATGTTGAAAAATTCCACAGCATGCACGTATCAAATATGAAACGTCAAACCTCATAACAAAGTTATGTCGCAGTGATTTAGTGATCACTCTCATGCTGCATTAAACAAATACTCAGCCTGCACTGCTGTGATATTGTGGAACTTTAACGTGTAAAATGTTTCCATGGCTTGTTTTTTTCCATCCATCCCATCAGAGCTGCGTTTCAGTGGCACATTCTGTTGTACTTTGTACTTCTGGCATTTGCAAATAAGACATTTGCAAAGTTTGTGCCATTTGGTGGAAGCATACAGCACCAAAACACAGGGTGATGTTTTATGATTTCAGGTTGCGTGACATGTACCTACATATGAAAGGTGTAATACATATGTAATGTTTCATTCCACATACGTTGACCTGGAAGAATTTGGTGTTTAAGTTGCTGGAGTGTGTTTGGCTTGGGCGTTACTTGAAGATGAGGAGAACAGAAATAGTTGAACTGAGAGATGCCTGAGAGCACTGACAAGACGAATAAAAGGATAGATGTTAATTAAAGACTGAAAACTAATTTTAAATCACACCAAAAGTGTAGTAATTAGATAGTGTGAGAATACCTTTAAGGATTATTACAGCAACCTGTCATGTTTCACCTCTCTCTGCCACCTACCATGAACACTTCCTCGCCGCTCATCAGCTTCATGCCCTGCACCAGCTCCTCGCTCTATTTAAGAATCCCATCCACAACTAACCTCTGCCAGATTACCAAATCCATTTGGTAGCATATATCCAGCACTTTGTTCTTGATCTTGTCTGATTCTCTTGTCCTGACCCCACACCCGTTTTCTGGATTTACCGCTCTGCCTGCTCCTCATCTGGTCTCACTCTGCTCTTCTGATCTTGGTAACAACTACTTTTTCTGGCCTACGAATTCTGGATTACGGACTGCCCACTGGATTTGGTTTTGGACCTCGGACTCCCTGTGCTTGACCCCTGCTTTAAAGTGCTATGTGTATGTTCCCATACAATGGCAAAATTAGTTCTCTGCATTTAACCCATCACACCTGGGATACTCCCAGGTGGAGCAGTGGGCAGCTATGTAAGCACCCGGGGAGCAATTAGGGATAGGTGTCTTGCTCAGAGACACCACGACATGTTGGAATGGCTGGGGATCGGACTTTCGAGTTTCGAGTCGGCTGCCCTACCTCTACCCCATCTTCGGCCCTGCTTTGTTTTTCAGGCCATGAACTTGGATTACCCCACTGTTCAAATTATTCACAGCGTTACTCTGCAGCTCCTCCACCAGTTGCAGTGACATTATCACGTCAAGCTCCGACAGGTGGCTCCCATCTCATCTGAGAATGTTAGTGACTGAGTCTCTGTTAACAAATACGTCTCCAGAAACTTGCAGTCCACTATTATATCTCTGCAGATTTGTCCTCGAACTGAATCCAGACTCCCACCGGCAGCTGCAAAACAATACACTTTTTAACCATTCTTGTTGTCTGGCTGTTTGACAGAATCCAAAAACCTGGTCCTTGTCACAACCTCCATTTTTCTGTAATAAAGGGGGTCCAAAATCCATAATTGACTTAGTAGATAGTAAATAGAATAAAATAATATTTTGTAACGACCTTGGTAAGTAAGTTAGCAAACAGCAATCAGATGTTTTGAGATGGGAGACCATTTCAAAAGAACATACATCAGTTGTAAGACAGAAATCTCATCTCCTAACAGCCTGTAGGGAACCTTAGACTAGACGTAAGATCTTGTGCCAAGATAACCTGAAGTACCTTTTTGAAGACCACCAAGCTCTGCTTCATGCCTCATTGCAGAATCACTTGGTTGAACATGGTAGTGGCAGCATCATCATCTGTGCTGTTTGTCCAGAATGTAAAATAGCTATGCTGATCAAGCGGATTTACATTAAAGACATTGACTTTTATTTGCTTCTTGAGAAGATGGGATGAAAAGAATGCTAGGAAATTTCAGATGAGTACAGATTACGTTTCAGCATCGACTCACAGAATGTAGTCAAGAAAACATGAGAATGGTGGAATTTGTGGCCAGGACTTGTAGCCATACCCAACGTCATGTCTCTTCAGAGACCTGATGACTGTGCACTATAGTACAGCTTTTAGCTGACAGTGAGAGACCTCCGAGGGAAATGTCTGCCAATATTATACACTCATTCCTTAAGAGAAAGTAAACTGTCAGAGCAAGTTATTCTGTTTATAGAGGGGTTTACTTCTAATAAATGACCAAATATATTCAAAATGATCATTTTATACTGTAATTGTGAGTGATTTTATAAGAAAAAATGTAACAAGTTTCAGGATTAATAGACAAATAAACAAAATGTAAAAATCTTGAAGTGAATGACTCTTAAAGGAACACATTAAAGCAGCACAGCTCAGTTTGTCTCTGTTTTTAATCTTTATTTATGCCCTGATGGTGAACACAGCACAATGACAACAAATATTGACAGTGAACACAATGAGCCAGGTTGTTGTAAACACCCAGTGCAGTCCCTTTTAAGAAAACTCACTGAGAAAGGGTCCGCCACGAAACCCAGACACCATTCTAAACATGAAACCTAAACCTGATGATGGAGAATCCATAGAAAACGGACAGCCACATTTAAGCCTCTTTACCCATAACATACTTTAAAGTCACAATTAATAAAAAAAATAAAATAAACAGACTTTATTTTGCAGGATGAAACCATAGGGGGAAGCAGATATCCACTTTTTTCATTATTGTTGAACAAACACCACACAACTAAGTTAAATTCTACATTATACAGCCAAATATATATATATATATATATATATATATATATATATATATATATATAAACAATGACAGTTAGCATTTCCTGCAAGAATACAGTGGGCATGCTTGTTACAGAAAGAT